ATCAGGCCCGTAGCCAGGGGGGGTTCGGGGGGTTCGAAAAAACCACCCTTTTTGCTAGGAAAAGGTCCACTCTGGGTAAAATTTGACCTATGTACTTGAGGATTTTATGGTAAAAGGTCCACTTTTTCAGAAAACGAACCCCCCTCTCTGAAATTGCTGGCTACGGGCCTGAATATAATTGATTGGTTTTGGGAGCCATGCACCCGCATGAAAGCTGGATGAAACCGTATATAAGTTCAACTCAGAGGAGGATCCAGGATTATTCGAAGAGGGGAGGGGGGTCCGCTGATGCGAAGTTAGCCTCCTTTTAAATGAATATGCCGTTCTGGGTAAATAAAAATATATTGAAACGTTATTAAATCGCAAGAATGTTTTTGACTTAAATGATTATTTTATTATTAATGGAAATTAAGCTACGATGTGTGGTACATATGCTGTGATTACGCTATCTTTCATCTGTTGCGTTAGTCTACATTTTGCTGTACATGCTAGGTATTTTAAAAATCTGTGCGTACAATTTTTAAAGGTCTGGTTACGCCCCTGCATTCAATATTCATTATTTATCATTTCACAGCTCTTACATATGCATATACATTTCAGAAAGATTCCCGATCCCGGGGATGACAATGTACATTGCGGCAAAGCACGCAATCCAAGGGTTCTTTGGTGTACTTAGGCAAGAGATGGTATTGAGAAACACAGGGGTTTCCGTCACCTCGTGCATAGTGGCTGGGACCAGTAAGTGACTTTATCACAAATCTGTTACCCTCTCATTGAAATGTTTAGTTCACTAAAGGGGATGATTTGAATTCGATCTCGCAAGCGTGAAAAGAGGTATGACCTTAGGTCACCTTTTCTGTATATAGAAAGGGGTTGCGCTATAAATATGTTTTAAAATATCATAAAAACGTAGGAACATATTTCAAAGTCAAACTACAAATCATTGCAGGAACAGAAATTGTGATGGGGAATTTCAGACAGGCACTGGGAGAGGAAACGTTGAATTCGCTTAACTTTGTGGATCCAACAGTTGTTGCTTTGGAGATCGTCAAGGCAACTGTTTCCAGGCAATACGAAGTGCACACGACTTCTGACAGATGGTCATCGATATTGATGTTCCTTAAGAAAATATCACCGGAATTAGTTGACAAACTTACTCTGAAAATACTTTTTTCGAGTTGAATAGCAGTGGCTGCAATAAAAAAAGAAATAAACTTATAATTTTTACTGAGAAAAATTTTTTTTCTTACTCACGAATCATTGCCCAGTCTGTTTCTTTTCTTAGATCTGCTTTTTTTGTACAAAATCTTTGTTTGAAATTACTAAAGAATTCTTTAAAATAACTACCTTTTTGACATTAACTATAAATGTACTGCATAAAATCAGGAATGACCTCATTTTCCAGTCATAAAATGAGAAAAAGACACCATCTTTTGTATCGTGGCCTCATATTTTGTATAACATAGTTCACAATTTCTTGTATAATATATATCAAAATTCTATGGGAAGTTCAAGAGTAAAACAGCTTAGAGAACAGAGTATCCTGGGAGTTTTGTAGCACTTCTGGCAATGGAAAAGATACACAAGCCTCTTCTGCTTTTCTGCTTCTGTACCTGTAATGAATAATGTTATTATATTAGGCTGCTTAGTACTAGTTGACTACAGTTTTTCAGCAGCAATTGATCTCTTTTGGTAAGAGTTTTTCTCATGATTCAACTGAATTGAAATGATTAACTTATCAATTAATATGGTAATAATTCGCTCTTTGAAATGAGCAAAAAAAGCTCAAACTTTCAGATACATATTTTTTATAATCATAAAGATTTCATTTATATATAGATTTGTAGTACTTTTGCTGCATAGAATAGAACTATAAAACAGCCTGCTTTTTAATTTTGTTGGCACCACTCAAAAGGAATGTTCTAATTTTACAAAATTATGACTTTAAAAATACTATATATGAAAAGTTCACATCCCCCCCCCACCCCACTGAAATGTTTGAGTATTTGTAGGAAAGTAAAACGCCTCAAAAGAAAGTTTAAAAAGAAATTCAGAACCAAACTTACAACTATTTCAACATGCATTTCAACATCGCACCTAGCACACTGCCATTCCAGCATTAGTTCAACACCACATCTAAAACTCTGCTTTATAATTATCAGACCAACATCACACCCTTGCACTTCCATCCACTTACTTTGATATTATATCTGGTATGAAAGATTGCATCTTATTCTGTAGAGCTTGAGCCTAAAATGATTACAGCAAAAATATCCCCCTCATTTCTTTTACTATGCACAAATAAAGTAGACCAGCCTTGGCCATATTGGAAGGAAATGGACTGCCTATACATTTATGGAAAATGGAATAACGAGAATCTTTTAAGAAGGACTTTAAAACACATATGTATTTTAAGACATTTTACTAAAGACTTTATATTAATCAATTTTTTAATACATTCAAATCATGAATCATGGATATATATATATATATATATATATATATATATATATATATATATATATATATATATATATATATTTTTTTTTTTTTTTTTTTTTTTTTAAATAAAATGGAGAGGAAGGTCTGATTTGTTCGCATCCTTGATTTTATATACCAGCTCCCCACGGGCCGCCGCCATGGGCGGAGCACTTTTCATGGTGTATTGACTTAATTCTCCGATATATATATATATATATTACCTCTAATGCCCCAACAACGTCCAGTCTGACAGCACTGGCCAACAGTGTCCGGAGTGATCCAAACATGAACGCTGTCTGACACTGTGACAAGTCCACTCCCAGAATCCTGCATAGATGTCCAAACATGACAGGATAGTGGATCTGAAAGTCAGCCTGGGCCTCAGAAAATTCTTGAAAATGTTGAAGAAGTTCATTTTTAAAAGTCCTGGCACTAGTGGAGAGAAGTGAACGACCCTGGAAATGATGTAAAATTAATGTCACTGATTTATAGTGGGTATACATAGGTGTGTGTGTGTGTGTGTGTGTGTGTGTGCGTGCGTGCTTGCTTGCTTGCACATTAACAGAGTAATTCTGCTAGTTCAATATAGGAACACAAAACTAGCATATGGTGTATTATAAAATCTCCTTTATGTAGTATCCACAAATGAGCAATTCATGAAGCTAAAGCATGTAATTTTGACACATTTGTACATGGACAGTTTTATAAGTGCCCCCCCCCCCCCCCACC